CGAAAATATGGTATCGGGCCCAGGCCTTTCTCCGTAACTTGATCGTCGAGGTCGAGGGCCTACTGTTACGGGCAGCCATCTTGGATTCAAATGATCGAGTCCCACCTGGTCTTGCCTCAACGCCTGTCCACTCGGTACATTTGGAACCAAGATGGCCGCCGGTCCATAATGCATCGTTCTCCACGATCTTAAGGAAAAACAGGGGACTGTGAACGGTGTATTTTTTCTAAGTCGACAGACTGTTCCTTTTCTTTCACAGAACCTGGACAACATACCACCAAAAAAGAAAATGAGCTATCTTCAAGTTGCAGTATTAATGGTTTTATCTTTTGGCCTTCTACAAACTGCATGGGCTGGACTGTGTGAGAATCACTGCTGGGCTAATTTCGAAGACTGTACGTTTGAAACCACTAGTGCATCATGTCAAACTGATTATGGCACCTGCCTGGGAGATTGCAAAAAAGTAAACGGTAAAAGAATGTTCAATCCTAAAGAGCGTGTTCCTTTTCGAGAATGATTTGGACAAAGAAGACTTTAAATGAGACTAATCTAAACTGCACAAACTGTTTACGAGCGTTTTGACTACAGTAAGGATCACGTTTTCACGAAACACCGTTTAATGAATACATATCAATGTTAATCAGAATTACTCTTTAGCTAATGGCAAAATGAAATTAAAAAAAAATAAAAAGTTCGCCGACTCTGTGCAAATTCAGTTTGTGTGTTTTGTGTGGTCTCTGACTATGCATTTAAGAAACATTTCCCTGTTTTATGATATATGACATGAAAAAACATTTTTGAATCTGACCGGCGGAGAACAATGCACTGAAATGCCATGTAAAAACAATAAAATAAAATGAAAATATTTCATAGAATGGTGCACTATGATTGGCTAATAAACAATAGATATACATAAGAACCAATCAGGTGTCGTAATTCAAGCACAACCCAAACATGACCGTAGATGGGCTCCTGATGTGAAGGCGCTGTGTTTTGGGTCTGGAAGTTGACTGTTCAAACAGGTGACACTAATTTTGAATGGTAAATTGCTCCATATATATTTTCATTGGGTAATGAAACGACTTTTCTCGTTCCAGTGGGAATTTATTTGTGCTCATGTGTTCTTGAAAAGGAAAAAACTCTCAAACTGCATTCCCAAATGGCTCTTTAATTCCTTACACCCGTGCAAATAATTTACAACTTGAATTTGATGTCGTATGATATTTTGACTAATCGGGGAAAACAGAGAAACAGAGAAAATAGAGAACCTTAAGATCTTAACTTCTTAAGAGCACTAATGTGTATTTATATTCTGTGATTTTAAAGGAAAATTGACTTGATTTAAGACAAGTTTCAATCAATCGTCGATCAGAGCTTTTATATATATATATATTTTATATATATTTTAGATGCCAGTGTCAGTAAATCTCTTCTTGTATTCTGATGCAGATCCTGTGTTCTGCGTTGCTGGGGCACTTGCTTTCTTTTAGCGAATAGAAAGCAAATGGAGAAAAGCCGGTTTTTTTGTGATAAAACATTATAAAATCATCATGAAGCGTTTTCGTTTTTAGAATTGAATCACAGAAGGTTTTACCTGAACAATTAGAAGGTACACTCTTGATTTCCAAGTCTTTGATAGTTGACTTTCTTAGTTAAGTGAGGGAGTTCATCAAAACCCTCTGTAACAGACCCAGTGAAACCTACCCAGTGGTTTAATTTAGTCTAATATATAGATTCAGCCAGAGCTAAAAGCGAAGCCTCCGTTTCTATACTTATGATAAAAGCAATCAAATTTAAACTAATAACATGAACTTTAAGCCCAAAAGAAAAAAGAATTAAGGAGCTTAGGCATCAGTTCACCTTTAGAGGGAGGGGCTAAATTAAGAAAAAATATCCCGAAAGTATGAATGCATGAAAGTCATATATGTGAACTGCGGGGTGAAGAATTATATGAAAGTAGATTAGTATAGGTAATAGCATGATTAATAGTAATTTTGATATTTCAAAATTGTTATACGTAATTTCACGAGCCGTTAGGCGAGTGAATTTTGAGACAATTTTGAAATATCATGAGTGGTATTTATGCCAAATATCACGTACCAATCATGCTATTATTTGTTTATACTACTACTACCCGCAAAAGGTTTGTTATTTTCATATGTAGGTATTTCAAATTAAGCTGAAATACCACTGCTCTAAGCCAATCAAATTGCAGAAATTTCTCGTGTAGTGGTATAATCGCAGTTATCATCGCAGTCATAGACGCAAATTTCGAATCCCATACAAACCTTACATTTTTTCAGGCCTTCTTTTCGCAACTGCGAAGGTTACGTCTATAACTGTGATGATCTACTTTCAATTGTGAAATTGTAGGTCTCTCTAGTAGCAGCAGTTTACAGGTTACGATTTCTAGGGTTAGTATTTCTGTCTCAAAGGGAAGACAGAACAGTTATGTGTAGCCTTTACATTTATCGATACAGCCTCACAATATCTGATAGAA